GCGAAACTTGGTGTAAGTGTCCTCTTTGAGATGTTGACCCTAACTGGAACCGAGTTCTTGGCTTGAGTTGAAAGGGATTTAGTTATATCAGAGGATGCAGTGGCAAATATCTGTTGTATAGTGAAACACGTGGTAAAGGAAATGAAACACGAGCTTAGGTACTGCAGCACTAATTACGCAGCAGTAGTAACCAAGCTTGGTTAATCATTTACGTCTCTTTCCATCGATTCATTTTGTTGCCGTTTTTTTGCATATCTTCCTTTTTGTCCATTTTCTGTCTTCGGTTCATAATGCTTAATTGTTCTGCGAATGACACGGTTCTGTACTGACATGATGCTGCGTTCTGTTATCGTTTTACCTATCTCGCCTGCTCTCTTAGAGCAGGTGATATGTTCCCTATCTTGTTTCTGAGTTTTCGCCCAGTTTCTGAGGTACGTGAGTACATCTACCCCCCCCCCCGTGGTTATCATCTTACTGTGATAAGATTTCGTATGCACAAGATCCTCTAGCTTCTGCGGGAACGGCATACCTGTCTAACGCCGTACCGTATCTATCCTGTACCGTTGTACCCTTTCACTCAGATTCCTTCGGCAGGGAATCACAGATAGATGCATACTATTGAAGTTGTCTGTGTGGTAGGCACTTAGGTTATCACTGATTCCGTTCAGCTTCCGGTCAACCTTTCGAAACTGTTGGAGGATCCGAAGTTCCGGATATTTCTTTTTTCTTAACTCGTTGAGCAGTTTCTTAGGTACATGGTTTGCATACATACAACTTTCTTAGGTACCGGCGTGTGGGGATCTGTGATTAGTGTGGATTGGTTAGTCTTCCAGTGTGGATAGGCTTCATGTAGAAGATCACTATAGGTTATGTCTGTCCTTATAATACAGTAGGCTTTTTTCGAGTTCATGTGTGAACCTGATCTTCTCGTGGATGTAGTTCAGGTGTCTTCGGAAGTCATCGAACTGGCTGCGTCAACTTTACCGCATAACCTAAGTATGGTCTGCGTGTCTGCGCCATGTTTCTGGACAAAACGCCGCTGCTCCCAGTACCATTTGTTCGAATTATTTCATGTGCTTTTCAGCTACGATTGAAGATATAAAAAATACAATGACAAAACCGGTTTATGCCAAAAATGCACGCTATGCTTGCCTTGCCACGTGGGTGGGCGGAGGTGCTGTTTTCAAAGACACTCGTAGTTAATGGCATCGAAACAGAGGTCAGCATAATTCCGTGGCAGTGACAGATGTGATTTACATTTCGACCCGTAGCGACTGTCATTGCGTGCTATCCCTTTCATTTTTATTGTTTGTTCTGCAATAAGGACATTGAGGCTGGATTATGGAGCCTCTGTGTAAGAAACGTTATTATCACATTCTGGTGCAAGGAAGACCCTCCAATAGAGTTGACGAAATCCCGGCGATGTCGGTTTGCTCTGCTGATCGTCAAGAAGGATTGTCAACGTTTCAAGACTTGTTTTTTCCTGCTAGCTGTACCCAATCGCACAACACACCATACCTATTCTCTGTAGCAACTGCAGTGGAAACGTTTTTACTTGAGATTACTGCAGCTATGCTCTTTTGACCTGCTCAACCGAGGGACACTGCGTGAGATAGCACGTAAGCGTTCAGCCATCGAGGTGGATGGTGACCACTTCAGCTAGTATATGTTCCTTAAGTAAATAAGTGTCCAGACTACAAGAGCATGAGCTACATCTTCTGTTTGTGACTTCTCCATTGTCATGTATCTGTATTATTACTGCTGCATGCTACTTCTGTTGGTCCTGCCTGTAAAGCTGTGCAACATATACATTCTTCAACCATCGTGGTAGAAGCTGTAGATAAGGTAGAAACAGTAACTTCGATGTGGGAGAAGTGACGTCACTTCTGACGTCTTTTGATCAAAGACCAGGATACTTTTGTTGACAGTATCAAGTCTAGCTCTCAATGCTACCTGATTCTAGATGGAGTTCGAGTGAAAGAATAGAGGGAGCTGCGAATGTGGCCCAGTTATCGTCGTTTGGACTGGTATTGTTATTTAAAATTTGGGTTTCTCAATTTTTGCAGTCCTCTTACCCTCGGCTGATCCCGTTAGGACACAGACATATGGTTATTGCTTAATTGATAAAAATTATTCATTTATTGGTTGTTCTATTCAATAAATTACCCCAATCATATTTATGACTGTACTAAACCATTTGTCCTTCATGATCGTGTGGAATGGGCCTCGCACCTCACATGCATAATTCACGCACCTCACATGCGTTATTTCGATCTGATATTTCGATCACTTTATGAACCGGTTTCAAAACTGTTGATTGTAACTCTTCGTCAAAGACACATTCAAAGTTCAGAATAGACCCGACTGCCATATCCATCAATACTTTCAACCAAACTGCTGTGCATGATTTGTTATCATCACAGGTCAT